AAGGCACAGAGTAAGAAACAGAGTAAGGCACAGAGTAAGAAACAGAGTAAGACACAGAGTAAGACACAGAGTAAGGCACAGAGTAAGACACAGAGTAAGACACAGAGTAAGACACAGAGTAAGGCACAGAGTAAGACACAGAGTAAGACACAGAGTAAGGCACAGAGTAAGGCACAACGGTTTTTTAGAAAATTGAGACCAAGAGCAGTTCAACAGCATAGCTAGTTTCTTTAATAGTCACAGTTTTTTCCAAGCTCCAAAAACTTTTTCAAATATATATATATCAGAAGGATAACATATGACAAGAAAACAATTTATTCATCTCCATAAAGAGAAATTTGCTTCGGCATGATAAATATATATACATGCACATGCACTTGTCAACACTCTCTCTTACTCTTTTTCTAACACACACACATCTTTGTCGAACGCCAATATCTCGTTTTTGTAAAAATTGTACAGCACTTGTAACACAAATAGTTAATATAGAAGCTGAAGATTCGAGGTTTTACTGAAGAGTTACACTCTAAGAAAAGAAGGAGGAGAGATAAACGCAAAAGATGCCTGCCAAGGAAAGAAGGAGCAAACCCCACCAGAGCACCTGCCAGCCACCCAGTGTCTGTCACTTACCCGGGAGATTTGAAGGTCGCCGTTGTCATCACTGTCTGCCGTGTGGGGCTCGCTGTCCTCGAAGTACTGCATGGAGAGAACAAGGGGAGTAACAATGTAAAGTACTGCACGGGGAGAACAAGGGGAGGTATAATGTAAAGTACTGCACGGGGAGAACAAGGGGAGTAACAATGACATACGGTTTTAGTACAGGTACTCTAAATTCGTGACCCTTAAAATGTTAGCAAAACGCCAACAATTTACCTTTTACCCTCAGGTTACAAAATCTGTGAATAATAGTTGCATTGAACAAACACACACACACACACACACACACACACACACACACACGATTCAGTCGGTCACACAGAGCACAAACATGGAAAGCTGGAAATCATGGATAGCTTGCACGATTTGCCATTCCCGGACTGATATTTCTGTAATATTTCACTCTAAAGTTTACCCAAAATATGGATGTTGAACACGTTTTGTTAGTCACCAACGCGTTTGAGTCATCCGTGCTGAATTGTACTTCTGAGGTACTCACCCGGTACTTGGAAGGCTTGAGGTGTCTGAACCAGCCAAAGCTGATGCGGCCCACAAATATATATGTACACACATACATATATATATATCTCTCTCTCTCTCTGAGGTACTCACCCTTGGAATTGGAAGGCTTGAGGTGTCTGAACCAGCCAAAGCTGATGCGGCCCACAAATATATATGTACACACATACATATATATATCTCTCTCTCTCTCTCTGAGGTACTCACCCGGTACTTGGAAGGCTTGAGGTGCTTGAACCAGCCAAAGCTGATGCGGCCCACAAAGATGAGGAGTGTGATGAAGAGAGCCACACACGAGAAGATGAACACAGGCTGGAAACCCTCTGTGATATGGGGAGATAAGATAAGACAAGATAGGAATAATCAGTACGGATACCTTGCAGGCTTTGGTGCTGGGGGGAACTGAGCACTAATGGACCTGTCCGGTGTGCAATGACGTTGTTGCCCAGGACAGGTAATACAGGTAAGATAATGTAAGATAAGGTAAGATATGATAAGATAAGATATGATATGATAAGATAAAATAAAATAAGATATATTTGATAAGATAAGATCAGATATGATAAGACAAGATAAGAAAAGATATGATATGATATGATATGATAAGATAAGAAAAGATATGATAAGATAGGATATTATTAGATAATATATGATAAGATAAGATATGATTAGATACGATATGATAAGAGATATAATAAGAGATATGATAAGATAAGATATGATAAGATATGAAAATATTTTAATGATTTCCCAAAAGAAATTTGCCGCAGCAAAGTAAATATATATATGAGCATGTGCACATATCCACACACTCACACACACATTCGACTCACACACAGATATACACACACACACAAATGCACTCACACACCTACACACACACACACACCCACACATATACTAGCCAAAAATAAACCAAGACGGATTGTCCACTAGTGTAGCGCCTTTGAAAGCACACCTAAGTAAGGAGTGTGCTACTGCAGCAGAAAAACCCCCATCCAGCTCACAGCTATAAGACTCTAGCTTCTGTTCCTAACAGTGCTCTGTCCATATCCTACCCCTTAACTCTGTAGGTCTAGTGGTTAGACTGCTAGGCTCACAATTTAAAGTTTGTGGGTTCGAACTCTGTTTGGAGTTGGATGTTGTGTCCTGAGGTAAGGAACTTAACACGAAATTTCCTCGTTTCGCCCAGGTGGGAATGGGTACCAGGCCATATACAGAGAAGGGTCTTGTCAGCTTGTCAGCTTGTTAGTGTTTGAGTGCTTAATCCACTGCTAGCACTGTACGCTTCCCAGGAACCTGTGTTCCTAAGCATGGAAGCTGAGAATGTTCCTGAGCATTCTATGGTCTGCTGGGGTAATAATCTAATATAGATTGTTAAGTGCATTGAACTTGCTGTTGAGTGGGGATATGCCCAGATCAAATCGCGACCCCAATGCTTTCTTGTCGTATCTCCCTTTTTAATAACAGTGAAAACAGTTCATAACAAAGAGTGAGCTTAAGAAGATGTCACATTTTCACTGTTTAAAAAAAAGGAGATGCGACAAGAAAGCACAGAGGTCGCGAAATGCTATTTTTGTTTCTATGACTTACCTGTCCGGAGGCCAGTGAAGAAAACAACGTTGAACTGCAGCAAGATGACCGCCCAGAGGACAAAGGTCACCGCCGACCCATGGATGTGTTTGTTTATCCTCGACGGGTTGTAGGCGAAGAAAATGTTGTAGCGGTCGACCACGTGCTTGAAAATCATGTACACCAAACCTGCAGACAGGAGGGACATCATTGGTCGCCGGAACTTTATCAATTGACAATGACATAGGCTGTATTTTCAAAGTCAGTATTTCCCCATTAGTGAGGTAGAGCAAAATAAACTTTCTTCACATACAATACAAAAGTCTCTCTCTACCTCCCATACCTTTCTTTTTCTTACACTCACTCACTCTCTTTCTCTCTCTCTCTCTCTCTCTCTCTCACTCTCTTTCTCTCTCTCTCTCTCTCTCTCT